TTCTCTCCTTCCTACACAGACCAACGCCAGCAGCAAGGCTGGGAAGCTCCATCCACATCTCCTGCTACCTCCATAGACCAGGAACCACTGGTAACTTTGCTGTACCCTTAGGAAAGTAAATAATTATACGAGTCCAGAACTTTCAGGGCATGTTAACAGATAAAAGTATTTATTATCAAGAACAAAAAATCACACTGTTTACTTCCTTTAAGCAGTGTCAGGTCACTTAGACCCCTGCAAGCATGAAGTCACTGCTGTATCACAGGCCTGTTCCTCTCTCTGTAGAGCAAGATTATTTTAACTCTTTCCTCCACAAATAACGTGTGTATTTCCCACCACTTCCCACAACCTGTGAATCAGTCATCATCTGGTTTATGTCTATAATGAGTTAAAATGAAGCACTCCCTATCTCCCTCCTCAAACATGTTTTAAGGAGGATATAACATTCTGATAAGATATTTAAGGGCTTTTATTTGGGTCTCTTATCTTGATTAATGCCATTTGAATTTTCAGAACAGTGTGACACCAGCATCCATTCCCATCAATGCCGAGCAGTCCACATCTAACAGATTTAGAACAGCTACCACGAAGCATTTCCAAAGATGCATCTTTTGGGAACAACTTTGACCTTGTCCCCTTGAATCTTCACTTACATTTCAATTTTTAAATATTAAAGATAGAGAGGAAAGGACAGACATATTCCAGGCTACATTTCCAAAGATATTGTGGTGGTTTCAGAGTCTTAATGGTCTAAGTCAGTGCTATGTTAACATTTATTTGAGTGAAAGGAAAAGGAGCCTAAATTCTGCTATACAGAAGTAGTAATTTTCCACAAGAACACATCTATTCTTTCTGCTTTCAAAACACACACAAAAATACTTTCCTTCTATTACTACCTTTGCATCTTGATACAGATATATAATTCTCTCCATTTTCAAAAGCTGAATGGATTGCCAAGACTTTAAAGACTCCCTGAAGCTAAGAAGAACTGAAATTAATGATTTCTATCTCCAGGGAAGGTAAAAAGGGTTACATTGGGAGTATTAATCCATTCTAGGCTGTAATTACATTTTAACAAGAAAAATGGGTTTGTATGTCACTTAATTATACCTCAATATCCCTCTGGAAATCAAACAGGTCAATTCGCTGCCAGTTACTGCCATCCAGGGCCAGAACATTCCATGCCTTTAGCGAGGGGAAAAAATGTAAAGGTGTTGTTAATATGAAAAAAAAAACCCCAAAACCAAACAAAAAACCCCACAGTGAGAAAAAAACCTAAAAAACTAGTGAGAAGCTGGTTACAGTTTGTTCCTTATAGAAACAACGTTCTGTCTCTGATGTAAAAGCAATAAGTAATTACAGGCAACAAGGAAAACTCTGCAGTTACCAGAATCACTTGCTCAGACAGGAGTCCCCTCACCTCCACGCAGTCCCCCAGAGAGGTGAGTGCTGGAGCCTGGGCACCTTCACCATCCTGGCTGGAATCTAACTCCCTCTGCAGCATCCACAGCTAAACCAGCACCTTTGAAGGATGCTGGTAGGACCAACGTGAGGATGAAGGACACGAGGACATAGGTGAGTCCCAGAGGAGACCCTACACCAGGCATCTACTCCACCAAGAGAAGTGAAACAAGTCTGAGGGCGTGGAGAACCCGGTGGCACTGGGATGGAGGACTCTGTGGTGAGATCCTGTAAGCAGTGGGGTAGGCTGTCACCTTGCACACTTCTCTTGCCTCCAGCAAAGAGGTTTTCAGCACAGTTCCACAGCTTGGGATGTGGGGTGCTGCATCCCACAGATGGAGAAATTCAAAGCTTTGGAAGTTATCCAGACGAAGTGTCCAGCTCTTACCTGAGATCACAGATGGAGAAATTCAAAGCTTTGGAAGTTGTCCAGCTCTTACCTGAGAACTGTGCAGCACAGTGTTTGCTACCGCTGACTTCAGTGTTTGGTTTGGTGTTTAAACATAAACAACCAAAATCTCATGTGATTTACACCACAAATGAGAACCAGGAACTGAAAGTTGGTAACTCTGCCCTTCATGAATTCAAAAGGTTGTCAACACAGCACCATACTTGAAGTGTTAATTACATAATCAAAGTAAACAACTAGATCTCAGCATAACCATGAGTCCATCATTAGGAAGGAGTGCACGTACACAGGCGTATTTTTACACTACATCTATTACATGCACCAAGGTACATCTCCATCACAATATACTAGTTGTTGTGCAAGCCACGTACAGACTTACAACAGCCAACAGAACTGTAAGCATCAATTGATTTTCTGCATTTTAAATCTCATTGCTGATATCTGGATTAAGGTCTAGTTATTGCCAGGAGAAAAGTAATAGCTCCAGTGGAAAAGAAATGCATCAGCAAGATACAAGTTACAGCACAGCATATTTGAATGTGTGATGGAGGGAACATTGCATACAGCCTGTCTTCTGTGCAGAAACTTTTGTCCTTTACAATACAAGCTGTCTCACATAGTGACTAATAGGTTCTCTGATGCCCTGTGGACTGTGTGAACAGCAACAAAAATGGGAGTACACCTTGACTCGAGGGTAAAAACCATCCTAAACAAAACAGATACTTGGGTTTTTTCTTCCATGCTTACTTCAACTACATCCAAGCAGGAAAGTAAACTTTCATTGACTGTGCAGCATCTTTGTGAATCAAATTTTCTCTGTCTCCACCAAAACCCACAAGATGCTAATTTTAGACTCATCCAAGTTTGGTATTTTCATCAGCACAGGTCACCTGCCAAACCCAGGCTGAGAGGAGAGTTCTTGGGCAAAAAGTCAGGTACCTCCCCTCTGTCACCTGCTCAGGGCCTGGGACACCAGTAAAATTGTATTCAGGCTTTGAGTTCCTCTTCACTGGTGCCATCAGAAGCTTCTGGTATTGCAGCATTAATACAGGACACTAAATAACAACAGCTGAGTTGCACAAAGCTCCCTGGTACAAATCCTCCCGGTTTGACATACTAGGGAAGGCTGGAGGGAGAGGATTGTCACCCAAATCCAATCAACTGTTAAAATCCAGCAGCAAGGAGGAAGGTTCTTACCCTGGAAACTTGAGCACAACGACACAGAGTGACCACATCCAGGAACGAGAAAATTCTGTAACAGAAATAGAAGATACCTTATTGGTTATCTACATTTAAAACAAAGAACGTGGAAAACAAAGGAGGGGGGGGGAAAATACTGGAGACAGCAAAACTTCTTTGTAATTCAGTTGAAAGCTGAGCTGTGAAAAGAAGCGCAGACCTAGCAGTTAACAAATGAAAGCAAAACAGATACTGAGTCACTGGGAAATATTCATCTCACACCTTGTATATTTACTGCCAGTAAACCGAACGATTATTTATCAAACCAGATGCTTTAACAATCAAACGTTCAGTTCAACCAGGATATGGCAGAACAAACAGCCACGTTGGGTTGTTTTGGCTCCTCTGACACAAGAGCATCGCTGTGCCCAGAGCCTCTGTGCCACAAAAACAACATCTTTCACAGCAGCTCTCCAAGAGCCGGCAGCGGAATAATTAACAGTTAACAGATCAAAGCGACGCCACAGCCTGATTTCAGCACATGGATTATTGCTTCTTTTTTTTTTCACACAGCTGTGCTAAATATGAAGTGTTGTTAAGAGGGAGGTAGGAGGAGTATTTTGCTCTGCAGCACTCGCACAGCCAGCTGACTTGTCGCACGGCGCTCGGCAGAGCCGATGTGGTCGCTCCTCTGTGGTATGTCACTCCTCTGCCAGGGCACACCCAAGTGTTCAGGCCAACACCCTGGTGTTGCTGTCCTATTTATTGGGATAAAGGAATTAAGACAGTAATACTTTGCAATGCTATACTGGGCTAAGACATCCATGCTTTTATCTCAGGCATATACACCCCTATCTGTGAATGCAGGAGGAGCTAAGCTCATTTAAAGCTCCCAAATCTGTACCGATATAGCAATATGGTTATTTTATGCTTTATAGTTATTCAAACAATAACTAAACAAACATTGAAACTCTGCCACAAAACGGAGGTCAAGTGGAGAGCAGAAAGGTAATGAGGTCTTGTTCTCTTTGATAGCAGTTACGAAACCATAGGATGAAATGTTTTTGCAAAGATAATACAAGTGTTTGACTACAAAAAACCACTTGCACGTAGGCTTTAGTATTTCAAACTTCAAGACCACTAGAAAGAGAAGGCAAATGCTATCAGATGCGAGTGGTAAAGGCGTGGGGCAGGTGCTTTTGTTCCAATGTGACACACTATTTTATAAAGTACTCTTGTCAGATAAAGTATGGTTGTCCAGGAGAGATTCAGAGAACAAACAGAACTCCTCTGCTCCAAAACTCTCCTCAAGAGAACAGCGTATGCCCAGATTAGCAATTGTTTGGATACCTGCAACACTTGAGTCATCTTCTCACAAGACTGTGGGCTTGGAGGGGGGTGTACATAAGCTTCCCTGCACTCTCAGCAGACTTGTGTGTGCTGGAAGAGGCTCAGGAATGAGAAGATGTTGCTGGCAGCATGTCCTTTTTGTGTGACTTCAAAACCTAACAAACACCCTGGACTAATGTGTTACTGCAGCTCTCATATAAAAACGAGAGAGCTGCACGATGTCTTCATCTCCCCAGTTAAGTACAAAGAATACATGTGAATAAACAGCACAGACTGATGAAGCTGGGGGAAGAGATGCTGAGAACAATGAACAAACATCGTGTGCATCGCAGATCAACTGCATTTTGTCCTGGAGATAAACAACAAGGGGTTATCCAGGCTCTTCCCACTGACACCAAGTCTTCTGCACACATTAATATGTACCACACACCTTCACAGACACCCAGGGATTTGTATATTGTTACAGACAAGCAGCAAATCCTGGATGTTTATTTTAGGAAAGGACACAAGCAAGGCTGAGATGATGTGATACATCCATCGCATGACCAAGCTTTCTTCACCAGCAGGTATAAAAAAAGCCCTTTAGAAACATCAGTGTCAGTGGAAGAAGAGAAAAGGGTAGAGGATGAATGCAGATTATTTATCAAACACAGATGCTGACAGGTATTACAGAATGAGAGCTGCCTAGAGTGGAAAACACCTTTAAGATCATCGAGTCCAATCACCAGATCATCGAGTCCAATCACCAGATCATCGAGTCCAATCACCAGATCATCGAGTCCAATCATTATGTAGCTTAACAGTTAAACATCCAGTTAAGTCAGGATATATCAGAATAAACAGCCACAGGCTCTTCTGTGTTTCTATACTGCCTGAAGCTACTTAGAGATTCAAGGAGCTTGGTTCAAGGCACTTCTCATCTGCTCCTTATGCACCTCATCCTGAGATAAAAATTCCAGTGATGTGCCAAGATATACCTGGTGAAGAGCTCTGGACAAGAGCTAACATGCACTTTACTGTTACAGTTTTGGGAACTCACTCCTGGATTTCAGAAGCAGTTCCACACTTGCTTTTAACTGCTTATAGCCAAGTCTTCCCCTTGAATTAAAAGTCATTTATTCATGCCTGTATGTGAGCACTGAGGATTTATTTAGCACAATGGCAATGTGCAACAATACAAGGAAAGCCTGGGGAAATGATAGATGCTAGGGAAAATTCTTACTTTCACCCTAGATTCCCATCACAGGAGCAAAAAAAATACCAAACTCCATGGGAACAGTGGCTGGGTCAATAACTACACAAGCTTTCTCTATTTTTATTAAAATTGCTTTCTCCATGGAAATCCCAGGCTATTAATAACCACCTCATCCCTCTATCAGGGCTATCAGATCTTGGTCAAATTCTTCACTGCTTCCCGCTCCTCCCTTTCCAGCCTACCCACACAGTAAGAAGGATGTCAACACAGCACAACACTTGCCCCTCTGACCTCCGGGGTTAACATCGCCGAGCGTCGCCAGGAGTTCCTTTGTTGTCTAACTCAGAGACTTTGGCTCCGAAAAGCTTGAGAGCATTTTCCAGTGTTTTCTGAACTGCTCTTGCATTTGTTCAAGAATATTAGCCAATGACTCAGCAGAATCAAAGTGAAAAAATTACTCTTTCAGCAGCAGTCACTATTCCGTTGTGCATTTTGTTCGTCTCAGAATTGGCTCCAAACTACAACCCTTCACATGAACTGGAGAGAACAGCAGGAGCACAGTTAAAATCTTGCAGACATAACGACCCAAGCAAAGTTTGCCAATGACAACAGGTTTTTTCTTCAGCAAGGAGCTGTTAAGGAACATTTAAAAAAAAAAACCCTAAAACCCCACAAACAAGTTGCCCTCGTGACAAAGCAATGACTGAGCAGAGATTGTCTCCCAACAGGAGTACAGCACGGGTGAGAAATGCTGGGTCTCTTTTCAGCAAAGGTCATCTATATGTTCACTTGAAATAACACACATTCTTGCTGTTACCCTGCAGCCCAATTAAAACTAGACTTGACAATGAGGAAACATACTGGGCTGACAGGAAATTTGGATGCAACTTAGCTAGTCAGCTCCAGACCCTCTCTTGGTAATAGAGGGACAATTCCTCCTGGAATGGTTCCAAAGCACCAAATCCTTAGAAAATATCTGCTGCTCTGATCAGATTCAGTTTATCTGGTGAAAGAAAACAGAGATGAGTAAGCAGCCACGAGCTGAACAGGACTACTTGAGTAATGGCTTTCCTGATTCTACCTTCACAGATCAAAAGGCACAGAGCTGGGATGTTTATTTTTACATCCAACACACAGGATTTCTGTTTTGCTCACAGCTGACTGCTGCAGCCTCACATTGGCCTTTTTACTCTCCAGAGTTGACAGCAAGAAAATAATCAACACCCATAACGTTATCATCAAACAGTGATCACAGGTGAAGGCAGACTGAGTATTGCAAACAGGAATTAAAACAAGTCTGGTATTGCAGCAGATTTAACTATTTCTCTGCAAAGTAACTCCCCATGTTTAGGACTTGGCCTGAACAGTCCAGCACCAGACAATTTGGCTAAAACACGCGGCAGTTAAGAGAATTTTTCAGGTTGCAACCTCTTAATCCACTCAGGGTTTTCTAGGACTCCTCACTTTCCCATTGCCACTCTAATTAGATTAGGGTTAAGACTCTAATGAAATCTTTGGATGCTGTGGGCTTTGAGGTGAGCTAGCTTAGACCTTTAGCCTTCTAAAATTATCAACACCAATTTATGTCAGTGACCCACCATTCAAGTTACATTTTGCTCCATACTCATTTTATGCCAACGGGTTGCCCAGGAGGAGAGAAATGACAACTCTGCTGCCAGCTCACCGGTTCCCCACGCGCTCTGTCGCTTCCTTATCCCGACCAGATCCCAAGCTCCTGAGGAATAAACCGTGGGGCTTGAAGGTCAAACAGCAAAGCCAGTGCCAGTGACTGGATGTGCTGAAAATGGGCTAGCAGGCAGCAGGAGGTGGCACGGAGTAAAAGCTGCTTACACCAGGAGAGAACTGAAAACTGCTTGACCTGCCCATGAACCGATAAGGAAAAGACAAACTCCTGCAGGCTGGTCCCCTTCACCCTGCCAAGCATAAGCTGTTTAGCAGCCCCACGTCACACCGAGAGTAAACCTTCTTCAGGAGACCAGCAGAGACCACCACTGCCACAGAAAATCCAGGCTTGTGGTTGGGATCTGGCTTCCAGACGAAAAGCCACTGGCAGGCAGCCCTCAAAGAATGAAAGCACCTTTTCAGCAGGGCATCATTAATGCCAGCGCAGGGAAACATGGGGACACGATGCTCCTTCATGAGAAACGACCTCAGCCAAAGCCAACGTGGACCACAAACTCACTGTTCAGAGTCACCGAGTCAGTTGCTGCCCAAAGAGGAGCTGGCAGCAGCAAAGGAGCGAGGGCAGAACTCCACTTTGGGCTGGTTTGGCTCATTCCTAAGAGTGTAAAGGTGTAAGCTCCTAGAAACTCATCTAGGAGACAGGACTTTTCCTAGAGTCCAGCTAGGAGTTTCTCCTAGCTGAGAACCTCAGCAGGTACAGCAGTATGGGGACAAGTATTTGTGACCCATCAGCTGATCTCTCTACCCACACGCTGCAGGACAGAGTCCTGCTCTCAGGGAAATGCAGGACAAACATCACTGCTACCAGCATGGTGGTAGGGCAGAAGGTGACATGGCAGCTGAAACATGGACGTGTTTAAAGGAGAGGTTTCTGAGGACAGCCCTCCAGAGTGCTTCACACCTCCACCCCATCCTCCCAGACAAACACATTACTGGAGTTGCTCATTTCTGCACCTTGGGGTGTGACAAAGGCTGCTGTTCACCCCTTTTATATCCTCCTCCTCCTCTTTATTTTGCTCAAATCCAGCTTTCCACTTCGCAGCCACATACATGAGACATCAATGCCATCTGCAGAATGAACAAACCAGAGAACAAGACACTACGCAGCAGCGCCGCTTAAACACTTCAGTCTTTGTCTTGTAGACAGTGACACTCATTTACAGGAGATTCCTGCAGATAAATGCATCCAAGTTTCTCTTTCAAAGGCTGCACTGTCAATGCACACTAATTAATTTTCACAGTATGCTAACAGTGAGTTCCAACTCTCAAAACCATTACTTATGAACTTTAACATTTATAAACTTCATCTCGTGATTTTTTTCCCAGGTTCCAACACAATCCTGAACACTTTCTCTGTTCTACAGCAGGTTCAGATGATGAGTGACACCAAGACACAAAAGACAAGCATTTCTCCAGGGCAGAAGCATGTGTACTGCTGAGAACTCAGCCACGCTGTGGCTTGTACTGACAAAATTCCCTGCTTGGTGTGGGACCTCCCCTCCTACTAACCACAAATCCTTCTCTGATTGTCTAGTGATGTTCCTCAACATCAGCTACCTCCTACAGCCCAAGAAGTGCTTACTGGTTCCACTCAGGATCATTCCACTTTGACAGATCCACCGCAAAGCTCCTCCACGCTCTAATCAAGGTCCTGCACCTTGGGAGCCCAGTGCCCACACATCTCTTCCCGTGAAGTCCACACAAAACCTCAGTTAAATTCCACCCCCCAACCTTTTTCTCCCTAGCAGATTCCCTGCTTTCCCCACACCACACAAACCCCTGGCCTCATCCCACAGCAGTGCTCTTCACAACCTGTCCTCAGCCTAAGTCTTGTCACCTTACCACGAGGGCAAATCCTGGTTTTGTTGCATCTGCAATACCAGCACCTACTTGCTCTCATAATGAGAAAAAGAATCACCTCTCAGAAATCCAGAGAGACATTTTTCTCTCACTCTTCAAATTCCCTTTTTGCTGCAACACATCCACAGCAATAGCTCAGGGCAAGTGCTGGGTGAAGACAACTGCTGTCACCTGCAAAAAAACTGCATAAACTCATCGGGACTAGAACATCCTAACGTTTGTTACTCCATCCTGCTCCTCTCACACACTGCTTTTTTTCTCTCACTCTTCAAATTCCCTTTTTGCTGCAACACATCCACAGCAATAGCTCAGGGCAAGTGCTGGGTGAAGACAACTGCTGTCACCTGCAAAAAAACTGCATAAACTCATCGGGACTAGAACATCCTAACGTTTGTTACTCCATCCTGTTCCTCTCACTGTCACTCCCAGCTACCTGATGCTGATTTTTACAGGGCAATCTCTCCACAGCAGGGTCAATCATTTGCCTGTAGACCTGGCTCAAAACCCAGATACCCACAGTAGCAGCAAGGAGGGTGTTAGAAGCCAGACATCTTGCTGTTGGATGAATAATACTGGAATAAAAGAAACTGAATCAGATTAGAGATATCATCACAGAGAACAGAGGAGGCAGTGCAGTCAACAGAAGAAAAGGAAGAGTCAGACTTTTTTTTTTTTTCTTCTATTAATTTTATTTCACAAGTGAGCTAGAAGCAGTTTCCTGTGTCAGAGCTCCTCTCCCCAGATTTTTATTGCCGTTAAACGTTGACAGTACTACACAGTTTCTTGCAGGGTAAGAATTTTTGTCCGTGTTAATAATTCCAGTGGGCACCTGCAATTGCCTTCACCATTTACAGTCCAGCATCTCAGCTTAAAGACCTGATGAACACAAATTTACTTCAAGATGCCAAGCTGTGACGACTCAGGTACAACCACACACACCACACACATCATCACACGACTCCTGTGCTGGGGAAGGTGAACTTAAAAACGTGTTTATGTGTGAATGTGGAAGGGCAGCACAGGGAGGGGGCAGAGCTGTCTACCCAGATCCACAAAGTCTGACCTGTTTCATCTTTGCCAACAGGACCATCCTGCCAGGTGCTGAACATCTCGTATTGATGAGGAACAGGACAAAGTCTGCTCTGGCATAACTGGAGCAGAGGAACTGATTTTATTTATTTATTTATAAATGGAACACTTTTGAGCCAGGCAGAGTCCTATTCTACACATAAGTCTATACTTACCATTTATTTTCATTAAGGACTTACTTAGTCCTTAATTCTTCCATCTACAAACCCAGCAACCAGCAAATTAATTTGACATTATAAAAAACCAAAACCTAATAATATTTAACATAAACTGCTGCCGATGCAGACCTTTGATCTGTTTCTGTTTGTCTCTGGCTTCATAAGTGACCTGATCCAAGCTCATGATTTATGAGCATACAAGTAAAATCAGCTACTGGCTGTAAATAACAAGACACAACAGTCTCAGAGCTTACAAACAGAACGGAGTCTTACCGAAGCAGCAGCTCTTTTGGAAGTTTTTTGTTGATCACAGCTTCATCATTGTTTGAAAACATCTGTAAACAAAAACAATTTAAACATTTTAGCTATATATTTTCATTAAGGAAACAAAAAGCTGCTTTACTCTGGGGAAAAAGCTGCTGGTTAACAAAGCCATTTCAAGAGAGACATCTGGTGCAATAAATTCTCCAAAGGTAAAACTTTGTGCTCAAGCTTTCCAACTCCTGGATTGGACCCTAGTTGGGGAGAATATTACATCCAATATAGTTTAAAAAATGGTCCAAGAATGCTTTGCAGTTCAACAGATGAAATATAAACTGAGATTGTGAATTTATCTCTTGCAGTAAATGATAATTAGGAGGTACCTGTGGGCTGGCACTGGCCACAGGCAGGTATCACCTGGGGCACTACCACGGGCTCCCATCTGTGGGCCAGTTCTGTGAAGGGACACCAAAGCACGGGCACTTGAAACCCATAACGTGTAACTACACATCAAACCAGCGTATGGCAAACAGGTTGGAGGGAAGGGCTGGGACAAGAATCATCAAACAGCCCCAACATCCAGCGAGTGGAGGTTGGAGGTGCAGGTACAGCAGAGCTGGTTTCTGGAACAGAAAAGGGTGCAGAGTGCTGGTGAACTGGAGCCTGAAGAAAAGCGTTGCAGTGCCCGTATCGTGCCCACAGCAAATGGTTTGAGAGCAGCTCTGAGGAGCTTGGGGACAAACAATATTTTTTTTTTTGTTTTAAATCACAAAAATGTGATCTTTGGTGCTGCATCAGGAGGAGAGATGACTCTGGGAAAGCACTGTGTTCTCCCAAAGCATTGAAGCCAGAGCTATTTGTTGTATCCCATAAGCTTTTCCACACAAAGCTTTTTATCATAATGGCCAAACAATTTACACATCTGAAATGGACTCTTCAACCAGCTGAAATAATCATAGAATGGTTTGGGTTGGAAGGGACCTTAAAGATCATCCAGTTCCAACCCCCCTGCCAGCAGCAGGGAAACCTTCCACTAGACCAGGTTGCTCAAAGCCTCATCCAGCCTGGTCGAGAACACTTCCAGGGAGGGGGCATCAACAACTTCTTGGGCAACCTGTTCCAGTGTCTGACCACCCTCACAGTGAAAAACTTCTTCCTAATATCTCATCTAAACCTCCCCTCTTTCAGCTTAAACCCATTTCCCCTTGTTCTGTCATTAACTGCCCTTATGAAAAGTCCCTCCCCAGGTTTCTTGTAGCCCCTTCAGGTACTGGAAGGCCACTAGAAGATCTCTCTGGAGCCTTCTCACTAATCTTCTGAGCCTTCTCAATAATCCCACTACCTGCAACGGTGAGAGAATCTTCTCTTTTCTAAGGAGTCCTGAGAAAAAACAGACAGCGAAGCCTCATGTGCTTCTTAAAGAATATATTTAAATATTAAATATATTTTAAAGACTTAATATTGTCTTGCCATGGTGAACCAACAAACAAACAACCTCCGCACGCTTACGCCTGTGGGAGGGATGATTTGAGTGATCTGTGAACTAAGACTGCTGAGCAGCAAAACCTCACTCTGTTTAGAAGCACACTTCCAACATTTCCAAAAGCAAAGCAGGGAATAAGGAGAATGAGCTTTAATTTCATTAATAAACTTTCTCTTTAATCTCTTTAATTAAGAGCTGATCTTCCTGAGCTACATACCTGGTAGGAAAAAAAACCTGCTGCTGAAGTTACAGGCTGAAAAAGCTGATTCTTATAGTTGATGAAGTGTTCTGAATCAATTTAGTTGTATGTATGCAAAGCGAATAAAACCAGCAGCAGCTGGGTCACTTCAGTGGCAGAGGATCAGATTAAGAGTTAAAAAAGGAAAGTAAGATCTTAATGGCTTATGGAGCTGTGTGCTTCATCTCACTGACAGACCACAGCTCCTCCAAGCAGCAAATATTCTGTACCTGAGCATCAATCCAACCCCATCACCTACCAAAGGAACCACCATAGCTCAACATGCTGCCACTAAGGAGCTTTTTAATAGGTTCTAATCAGTGAGAACAAACTGACAACAGAATAACAGCAGAGAACACAAAAAACAATGCTTTTGGAGACAGCCAGACTGAAAAGTCGTGTTTCTAAATCACAGTTTGCTTTTTAGTTATCTGGAGATACTGAAGCATGATGCTGAAGTGGGACACGAACTCTCCAGCATGTCACACAGAAGAAAAGTGTTGCTTTCCCCCCCCCCACAGACGCTTTTATCACTTCCCACCACAAGATATCACAAGTTAGCAAGTCCTAAACGGTCCACTAGACAGGCAACTACTCAGCCCGTTTTGCAGATAATTAAAATGGAAGTTTTGCCATTTCCCCAGCTAACACAAATTCTGTGAAGTCTGTTCCCTCAGAGACCAGGGCAGAAGAGCAGCTCCTCAAGCCAAGGACTGTGTCCAGACTCACAAACGTTACCTGACGCCTGGCAGACAACCACAGAGGGTTGGGACAGACGTGGCTGAGGCTGGGAAAGGAGCTCAGGGGTGTGTGCACTCTGGGACTGGATCATCTAATTAGGTGGCTCAGCTGATCAGCTGGGAAATTAAGGAAATTCTGGAGAAAGCTCTAATGAAGGAGAAATGCAGAGGAATTACTCCTGGGAAAACGAGACTCTGGTTTTCCTTCTCCCAGTTATAAGAACAATAGTCAACAGGCAGATCTACCCTCATTCCCACTGTTGTCCAGGCCAGAATTTCACATCTGAACCAGCATCCTCCACCCCCCTCACAAAAAAAAAAAGGGGGAGAGAAATTAAAGGAGCAAATCAGATAGCAGTAAGAGACTTCCGAAAAGGAACCAGAGTAGGAGACAACAGGCAAAGGACAGGAAGTATTAAAATAGAGATTCCAGAAGCAGCCAGCCAGCATTTTCTGTCTCATCTGTATTGGCAACAAGGCTTTGTCTGAATTCAGATTTTCCTGTGAGAATACAGACAATCATCTCTCTGCCTGTTGTTAACTGAGGCTGCACATCAAGGACTCACAAACAGCTTTGTGCAAAACACAGGTAACTTCTTGACTTCTGCCCCTTCGGTTGCTCAGCAGAGAATTCTTACCTCGATCCCAGTGCAAACCAAAGCCTGACACTGGTTTTCTGCAGAAGCCACCCTTTGACCAGGACTACACTAAACAAACATGTGGTTTTTGTCTTACTAAAAAAGTCCTTGGACATAAACATGGGAGGGCTAAGGCAGGATGTGCTCCAAATTCAAGTCCTTCCCTGCACTTTCCCCACACTAACTGGAAACCCCCAAAATTATAACGCAGGTGACAGAAAACTGGTACTTCTCAGGATGTATTTATGGGCACTGCTGTGCTTCTCCCCAGAGCACCATCAGCCAGAAGCACTCAAATCAAGCAAGTTTATGAAAACAAATGGATAAACATGACCAAATGATACAGTTCTTGCTGCCTCACACTGAAGTCACTCAGCACAACGTGTAATTGTCCATTTGTTTCAGTAACTCTTCACTTGCCTTTCAGAATATTCACATTTTTCTACCAACTGGCTCAATTCACCTGGTTGCCCAGTTTCCCCAGCAGCCTGTCAGTGCTCTGCACGGGCAGGAGAAACAGATTTATCTGCTAATAGCATAGGAACCAGAGTTGCTATTCAGCCATGGGTTGTGTCAGCCCCTCATTACAGGGCACAGTGACCCAAACTGGGTCATAGGTATGACACCAACACAGGATCGAGGTGACAGCACCTTGCAGCTGAGTGTGCAATGGATAACTGTCTAATTACGAGTGTCCCTGAACAAGAAACACCTACATATGTCCTGTACTCATCATACATGCAAAGAGGGAGATGAACAACAGTTGATGCAAGCTCTGTAGGTGAAGCAACCCGTAGCAGGCAGGCATTATTTGAGTTAAAATATCAAGTAGAGCATTGTGTCATTATTACAGCCATTCATTTAGCCTTTGAGCAAGTCTTGCATTGTCATGGACCAAGCTTCAAAAGCCACACAAGCAACAAGCACAGAGATTCATCTTAGTTCTCTCCTTCAGGTCTCCTCGTCTCCATCCTGCCCAGAGTGAATGGATACGGTCGATATTTAGCACATAAATGGGGTGTTCACATGCTGGAGTGATTCAGGTGCTGTGTTCACAGAGAGACTGTGCAACTGCTCCCTGTGACGTGACACACACGTGTGCCACTGGCAAATGCCAACACCAAAGGTGGTACAGCCAACATCTACAGCTCCTCTCAGGAAATCCATACTCAATACACATCTGACTATATTTTACTAATTTCCATCCAAGAAAAATTGCTACATTAATATGAAGGTCTCGGTATCAGGTTGATTGACTCATTCCACAGCATCAAGCAGAAGCTTCTCCAGCGAGAAGAAGGTTCATCCAACAACTTCTGCAAAATTTCAACCTTTGCTTCCAGTACAGTTACACTCCCCATACCCCCAGGTTCCACAGAAAGTCTCTAAAAATACACAAAGTTGTCTTTCCTGGTTTACAGAGAGATGGAAAAACTCCACAAGAGCTGCTCCAGAGCCCGGCTCCGAGAGGGCTCGTGGCTGCAGAGCTCTCCTGCGGTCTGGGCTGGCAGAGGGAGGGGGCAATGCTTTCCTGGAAGTGTCACATCTGGCAATGGTTTTGATTTTATTGTTGGGGAAGGCCTGGAGGGGTGTTCCTACAAAGAATAAAAGTTTTGGGGTTTTTTTTTTTTCACTTTTTTGTGTTTGGAAAAAATACATTTGAGAAGTTTCTAAATGAGTTATTTCAACATTTACAGTTTACTGGAAGTAATGAGGAATATTAAGGTACAGAATACAAAGCACGTTTATTTTACATTACCCTAAATGCTCAAAATGACTCTCTGTAAACGATTCTGAAGTCACTGGCTGTGTTTCTAAGTGAACAACAGCTTACTCGGCTGACATACCAAAAAGACTTTCCATCAGCAGAGACTTTTTCCCAATAAAGCACAGTTTAGACACACAGATACACCAGACTGCCTTGTCTATATGACTGCAGACACTGAAAAACACCATCAATTGGCCCAACATTTTG